TTTAAAGAAATGAAAAGTAGAGCCACCTGGAGAGTTTAAATAACATGTGTGTCTAGAACCTGTTTGCTGGAGATTAGAAGTAAAGGTACACATTTCAAATAGGGCCTGAGCAAATCTGTGTTTCAGAACATTTTCCCAGGTGATTATGAGTATTCTCCTGATTGAAACACTGTTTACAATCTGTAGATAAAATGCACTTGGCATTTGCTCATTTACAAACAGAACTTTACAAAATTACTTCTGTATCATGAATAGTAAATATTCTAATTGTAAATATTCTCCTAATGGTCTAATTGCAAATATTCTCCTGTATGGGAATGACTGCATAGAAATCTAGTTTCTGGAGTCAGAGATGCATATTATCTCATGTTACTGAAATGAAGCCGTGACTGGCAATGCATGTATCTATAATGGGATTGTCTTCTCCCAAAAAACTTACTAAAATAACTATGCATCTCAAAACTGCTGGTGTCTTTGAGTCAAGGAAGTATTTCCTCATGAGTGTACCATGAATTTCTTTTTTGTGTATATTCAGGTTGTTTCTAGTTTTTCATATTCATCCTGGGATACTTGAATATTTTTTTTTTTCCTTTGGGATGATTTTCTAAAAGTTAAACTGCTTAGCTAAATATGTATAAATTTAAAGGCTTTTGAAAATACTATATCTCTTAAAGCTTTTTTTGGGTAGTGGGTGAGTAGGTATAGGCTGGTCTCACTTTTAATATTTTCTTCTTTTTGCTTTGACTTTAGAATAAAGTTATGAATTTAGTTATTTTTTTCAGTCTCTAATGGGTTCTTTGGGAACCACTTTTATTTCATTGATACTTAGTCATGACAAGTTGTCAGGTATGGAAAACTAGGACATAATTCCTTGTAGTACATTTTTTACTRTTATAGAGACACTTGGTCATAATATAAAAATCTTTATTCTTAAAATTTTGTACTTTGCACAATTAATACCATTTTTAATCGTAAAGGCTGAGCAGTTTGTCACTAAGATCAAGAACAAGGACTTATCCTCCCATTCCTTCTATTTAACATTTTATTGAAGATAAGGAGAATAGAATAGTAAGGTAAGAAATGAATTCAGTCATTTAGACTGAAAGAAAGAACAAAAGCTATGTATCTATTCACAGATGGCATGATTCTTGTAAACAAGAAAACTTAAGGAATCTACACAGAGCTATTATAATTAGAAAATGAATTGGCAGGGTTGCAGAATACAAGATAAATATACAGAAATCGTGTATTTCTGTATACTAGGAATAATCTCTTAAAGTGAGATTAAAATAACAATTCAATTTATGATAGTATCAAAAAGAAAAAAAATACTTAGAAATAAATTTAGCTAAAGTGTGAAATTACTGAAAATTACAAAGCATTTTTAAAAATAATCAATGAAGATCTGAATAAATGGAAAGTCATCTCATGTTCAAGACAGTATATTGTTATGATATAGCATTTTCCAAAAGCATCTATAGATTTAATAGAAGCCCCATCAAAAATTGCAGCCTTTTTTTTTTCCCCCCAGAAGTTGACAAGCTGATTCTAAAAGTTGATATGATAATACTGGGGACCCAGAGTAACCAGTATATCCTAGAAAAAATAGATCAAAGTTGAAGTACTCAAACTCCCCCATATTCATGCTGAAATAATCAAGACAGTGTGATAATGGTACAAACATAGGTGTAAAATCAATGGAATAGAATTGAGAGTCCAAAAGGAATCTTTGTATTTATGATAGATTGACTCTCAAAAAGGCTACCAACACAGTTTGATGGACAAAGCTGTCTTTTCAAGAAATGATGTTGGAATAACTGAGTATCTACATGCAAAAGAACAAAATTGGATGCCTTTCTGACATTGAACACAAAAAATAAAATGGATTAAAGACATAAATGTAAGAGTTAAAATTATAAGATTCCTAGGAGAAAATAGGGATGTAAAAATGTTTGTGACCCTCAATACCAAAAACTGAAATGATAAAGAAAAAAATAGATAAACTGAGTTTTGGTAAAAATTTAAATTTTTTTTTTTTTTKGTATCAGAGGACACAATGAGGAAAGTAAAAAGATAAACCCTAATGGGAGAAAATATAAGGTCACATTTGTAAATTACATATTTTTCAAGGCATCTGTATTTAGAATAAGTACACAACTCAACAACTAAATGACAATAACTCTGTTAAAAAGCGGATTAAGGATCCGAATAAACATTTACTCAAAGAATAAATCAAAGTGGCTTGTAAGCACATGGAAAGATGCTCAACAGCACTGTGGTGAGGGAAGTAAAAATTAAAACCACAGTGGATTGCTGCTGTCAGCGAGGCAGAGGAGCATGTGCTAGTGGTGAGGGGACCCACGTTTTTAGTTGGTGAGGTTTTAAAGATGGGCTAAACTCTTGGCAGAACAGTTCAGCAGTTCCTTAGAATAATGAAGTTACCATGTTACCAGAATAGGTGAGGCATAAGAGGTGACTGCTCCTAAGTATGGGGGTTTCTTTTGTGATGCTAAAAAATATTCTAAAATTAAATGATGTGGTGGTTGCATAATTCTGTGAAAGTACTAAAAAACAATGAATTGTGTACATTAGAAGGGTTGAGTTTAATGGCATGTTATATGGCAGAAAGCTGTTACTTAGAAGAAGGATGAATTATATGTTAAGAGTGTAGGTGGGGGCTGGGATTGTAGCTCCGTGGTAGAGTACTTGCCTAGCACACGTGAGGTCCTGGGTTCAATCCTCAGCACCACATAAAACTGAAATAAAGATATTGTGTCCACCTACAACTAAAATATAAATATTAATTAAAAAAAAGAGTGTAGGTGGGTTAGATTCTGCCCATCAGTGGCTATGTTCAGGGAGACCACGGCCAATAATGGGTTGCACAACGCRTGGCTTCTTTTTCAGCATGTTTAAGAATGGCTTCAGGATCCTTCTCAAAAYAGGGCTTCCAGTAAGTACTGGAAGTACACTGGAAGTCCAGTGAGACCTGTCATGTTGTGGGAGATTGCTCATAGATGCTGGTGTCGAAGGGTCAAGCAGTCTTCAGTGGGAGACAGGTCTAGGGATCTGTCCCTCTTCAGGTTGGGGACATACTTCTGTGAAAGGACCATAAGTAATGGGGAGCTTCCCTTCCCTTGAGCACAATTGTGAGGGGATCAGGCTCAGAGAGGGACACGGGYACAGCAGGCGTATGGGGAGCGCTGAGGAGTACCTGAGCCTGGCCAGGCTGGAGCAGTTAGGCGAGCACAGCCAAAGGTTAGAGGAACGAATCTCAGCACTACTGATGGGCAATGGTAGCAGCTTGTATGGAGGACTGGGCTGTCCCAGGACCAGGCATGCAGGGGCGAATGGATAGAGTGCACAGATACCAGAAGTAGCCTGGAGGGAGGTTTCCAGAATAGAAGGGTTGGAGGGGTAAAAGGAAAGAAGCAGTGGACAGTGGCCGGGAAGCCCACCTCCTTCCAGGGTGGTTTGAGTCCATGGTGGGGAAAGGAAATTGAAGTGAATTGAGGGGAAGGGGATATGGAGAGGATTCTGTGGTGCAAAGTGTATACTAAGGAGGAGAAAGCTTGTGTTCTTAGGTATGGATGGTTTTAGGGCTGAAGCTACTTATGAGACCGAGATGGAGATTGGGGGAGAGAGAACATGTGCACCCTCTGAYGTAAGTCATGTCACACAAAAGGCTTTTAATAGGATACTCAACAAAAAAAATGCCATTTAGTGGCTATAGAAAACATTCTTCAATGGTCTGCTTAATGGTATAAAGAGGAAAAAATAAAACGTTGAAATAAAGATCGCTGACTTTTTTTTATATTTATTTTTTAGTTGTAGTTGGACACAATGTCTTTATTTTATGTATTTTTATGTGGTGCTGAGGATTGAATCCAGGGCCTTGCATATGCTAGGCGAGTGTTCTACTTCTGAGCCACACCCCCAGCACCCCTCCCCATTTTATATTTATTTTTTAGTTGTAGTCGGACACAATATCTTTATTTTTATTTATTTTCATGCAGGATCACTGACCTTTCAATGGAAATTCATCCAGTGTTTTCTTTCTTTTTTTGGTACTGGGGATTAAATCAAGGGTGCTCAACTACTGAGCCACATTCCTGGACCTTTTTAAATTTTGTTTTGAGACAGGTCTTGCTAAGTTGCTTAGGGCCTTGCTAACTTGGTGAGGTTGACTTTAAACTTGTGATCCCCCACCTTAGCTTCYTGAGCACTGGGATTACAGGCCTGTGTCATCGTGCCCAGCCAGTGTTTTCTTATTTCTAGCATAGGTTGAAGCTAGGTCATCAGGAATATGCAGCCTGTTGATGAGGTTTCTTTAACTGGGGAGGTAGACTTATTGGGAGAGACACAGGCAGTGTTTCAAAGAGGAGGTATCATTAGGCTCGGTTGTGGTAATGTCGAAATTTTGTTTAGAGAACATCCAATTCGGGATTCAGATTTTCACTTGAAGATGGAAAAGCACTGTAACTGCACCTGTACTTCATTGCATTTGTTGGGAAGCTGATTAGTGTGGGTGTTATGGCTGGAACCTTCTCCTCCTCCTAAATACTCTGATCCTGCTGGAAAGATTCCAGTGAGGAAATTGCTCTAAGGTTTTCATGTCAGTCATTGTTAATGTGCTGTTTGAATGCCTGAGTGTTGTAAATGTAATTCATGGGTTTCCTGAAGATCGCTTCTTTGTTTCTCTTTAGGTTACTGAGTATTTTCTGTTATATGTGTTGGAATACATATGATATAAATTTAAACATTTTTTTTTTTTTGGTACCATAAGGGCTATAACACTTTTACTGGGTGTTATATTCCCTTTGTGGTGCCTTTGTTGTTTCTTTTTGTCTTGTTTTTCACTTAATTTACACTTCAGAGAATAATATAAATTGGAAAAGTAATATTAAATAGTACAAAATAATCCCATGCTTTTTGTTGTTGTTGTTGTTGTTGTTGTTGTTAAAGTTCTATTTTCTAAAATACTTTATTTTGTTTTATAGGGATTTGTCTTGGCAGTTACTATCACACGGGAAGCAATTGATGAATTTCGGCGTTTTCAGCGAGATAAAGAAGTAAATTCACAACTATATAGCAAGCTTACAGTAAGAGGTTAGCAAGATATTTTTAATCCTATTTAGCATTCCCTAATGTAATCATCATTTTATAGTTAAAACATGTCCTGATTCTGGTCTTGAAAATAGTGTTATGTGATATCTGATTTTTTTTTTTTTTTTAAATATCTAACTCATGCAGTTTCATGGGTTGTTTTGTCTTGTTTTGTTTTGCAGTTCTGGGGATTGAACCCAGGCTCTTATACATGTTAAGTGAGTGCTTTATCACTGAGCTATATACCCAGCTCCTAGGGTAGATTTTTATTCTAAATGCTTGGATGTATGTATGTGTTTGTTTATATATTTATATATGTATAAATTTATATTTTTATGTATTCACATAATCACATGTTCATATCAACATATCCATATACATATATATTAAAATTATATAATGTGCTCTATTTCAGTTACATGTGAGATATATGTGAGACCCAACTCATTTATCTAAAATTGCCTTTGTATTATGTTGTTGTTATTTATTTATTTATTTATTTTCAGTACTGGAGATTAAACCCACTGGGGCTCTACCATTGAGCTACACCCTCAGCCCTTTTTATTTATTTTTATTTTTTGGTGTGTGGCAAGGTCTTCCTAATATCCCAGGTTGGCCTTGAATTTGTGGTCCTTCTGCCTTAGCCTCCTGAGTTGCTGGGGTTATAACAGACCTGTGCTAATGTACCCAGCTTTGTATCATATTTTAAACACACTCATAAAGATCAGACATCTGTACCATGAAGTTAAACTATAATTCAGTACAAAAGCATTTGAGCATTGGAAATAAATATTACGATCCAGTKTGGTAATGGGTGCATACATGTTGATTCTTTAACCTTCATTCGGGACATTAACCCGTTTTAACTTAAATTTTTAAAGAGCCTGTTTATCTGATTTTTAGTCCGTAGTTGAAAGAGAAGCCATATATTGGGAAGAGAATGAGGGAATCTATTACAAAAAAGTGTTGTGACAGTAGAAGAGTAACCATGATGCATTGGCAATGAGACACCGAAACACAGAAGGAGAATTTATAATAACCCCAAAGTCTGTTGAAAAATGAAATTCATAGTGGATTTTGTAACTTTTCTGTATATGTGGTCATGAATAATGAATTGCTTACCTGAAATAGTCCCTTAAAAATTATCAATTTTAAACAGTTCATTGGGCTGTGTTTTAAAATTCATTCAGTTAAGCTGGGTGTGATGGTGCATGCCTGTAATCCCAGTGACTTTAGATTAGAGGCTCTGAGGCAGAAGAATTACAAGTTTCAGACCAGCTTCATCAACATATCAAGACCCAAGTAACTTGTTTCAAATTAAAAAATAAAAAGGACTGGGGATATAGCTTGGTGGTAAAGTACCCCCCCTGGATTTTAGTCCCTCGTACCAAAAACAAACAAAACTAAAAGAACATAACCATCCACTTAAAATATATACTTCATTGATTTTTGGTATGTTCAGAGGGTTGTACAGATGTTTCTAGAACATTTGTAACATTTCAGAAAGACACCTGAATACATTAGCAACCATTCTTCATTCTCCTCCTTCCCTGCCCACCCCAGCCCCAGGATCACTGTTCTACTTTCAGTGTCTGTGGTTTTTACCTGTTCTRGATATTTCATGTAAGTAGAATTATAAAGTATATGATTTTTTTTGTCACTGACTTCTTTCATTTTACATGTTTTTAGGATTTATCCAGAATGAATCAGTACATAATTTTTTTTTTGACAGGTAACATTCCATTGTTATGATAAACCATTTTTTGCTTTTTTATTCATCAGTGGATAGACATTTGAGGTGTTCTACTTTGTGACTATTGTAAATAACACTAATATGAACATYTGTAGACAAACTTTTGTGTGAATATTATAAAATTTCTCTTGGATATGTTTCTAGGAATGAAATTGCTAGATTAGATGATAACTATTTTTAGCATTTTGAAGATCTACTGACCTATTTCTAGGTTGATTGTCCCATTTTACATTCCTACCAAATCTGCATGAAGGTTTCAGTTTTATGACATCTTCCTCAACACTTGTTACTGTTTTTCCATTTTTCTTTTGAAATTTTTTTTCTAGTTATAGATGGACATAATGCCTTTATTTTATTTATTTTAAAATAAATAATAAATGCTGAGGATTAAACCTAGTACCTCATACATGAAATAGGTAAGCATTCCTCCACTAAACTACATTCATAGCCCCTGCTGTTTACCTTTCTTATTGTAGCCATTACTTTTTGATTGGAGTGGGTGTGAAAGTAATATCTTGTGGGTTATTGATCTGCATTTCCCTAATGACTAAYGATGTCATATACTTTATTGGCTACTTGTGTATCYTTGGTTCAGATCCTTCACCCACTTTTTAAAAATTTTTTCCACATGGTACTGGGAATTGAACCTGCAGTGTTCTACCTCAATCCACATCTCCAGCCTTTTTAATTTTTGATTTTGAGACAGAGTCTTGCTAAGTTGCCCAGGTTGGCCTTGAACTTGGGATTCTCCTGCCTCTGCCTTCTGAATAGCTGGGATTACAGTAGTGTGCCACCATGCCTGACTTTCTTCACCCAATTTTTAACTGACTATCTTTTAGTTGCTGAGTTGTAAGAATTCTTTGGATTTTCTGAATTAAGTCCCTTGTTTTATGATTTACGATTTCAGATTTTCTCTCCCATTCTCTGGGCTGTATTTTTACTTTATGATAATATTCTCTGATACATAAATGTTTTTAAAATTTTCATGAAGTGCAGTTCATCTCTTTTTTCCATTGTTGCTTATGTTTCTGGAGTTGTATCAAAGAAATAATTGGTCAACCCAACTTCACAATAACTTGTCTTCTTTATGATTTTAATCAATCTTACATTTAGGTCTGTTGTTCCTGTTCAAATAGTAGTTTTTGTATGCTCTGAGACAGGGGTCCACTTTTTCTTACATGAGTATCAAGTTATTCAGTATAATTTGTTGAAAAGACTTGTTATTTCTCCATTGACTTGAAAAATTATTAAAAAGCTTTAATGCTTGTGATGGTGGCATGGTGGAGAAAATACTAGTTCTAGAAAAGAAGAAAAACTTTAGCTTTAGTTTTGGGAAAAAAGAACCCCAAATGGCCTGGTAAATTAGGTGTACTTTGCAGGGTATGTTTAATAACATAATATAGGTCTTAGCTTATTTAAAAATTGTTTTAACTATGGCATTTGGACTTAGCAGAGTTTATTTCTGATATATTAATTGTATAGTTGAGAACTAAGTGGAGTGTCAGTGAGAAGGGCATAGTAGGTAGTACCATTTGCTTGTCCTTCCACAGAAGTATTGAATATCAAGCAGAAACCATTAAAACCGTTTTGGTTAGACCTCTGGAAAACACTCAGGTTTATGGCAGCCATGCAATTGCTGAATCCAGGAAAAGGCAACTTAAAAACTGGCATATAGTGTTTTTTTTTCTTTTTTCTTTTTCCTGCAGTTAGTTGCCCTGGACCCAGACCCTCTCCAGTAAGTCTTGAAGGTGACAGTCTACATTTGTTTGCAGAACAGATTTATTTAACAAGAATGATGTATGTCCATCTAGCCAGTCTGTGGATGACTTGAGGCACTGACCCAAGATTTTGTTTAATCCACTTGGAACTCAGTACAGAAAAGCAGAAAATCAGCAGGCATTTCTCAAGTGTTTGGTAGCTTAATGACCAGGCAYTGTAGTCTGGGGCAAAAAATTACAGCTAATCCTGACACTAGAATGTCAAATGCCAGGCAGAAAAAAACTTGGGAGAGAATGTCTTTGAGAAATTTGGTTATTCAGAAGCACATGTGCAGGCTGGGAAATTTTGAGAGTCACATGCAGGTTGAGAACTGGAGGAATGTCAGAAAAGACCTGAGAAGTTCTTTGGTCTTTGGTGGATCTCTGGGTTCAGTGTAAGTAGAAGTAAAGGCTACTGAAAAGTTGTAAATGGCCTTAGCCCTTTGCTGGTTCCTGAAGGTGACCTGGAGTGTAGCACCAATCTGCAAACACTGAGAGGTTTTATTTTGTTTCTTCCCTCTCCCCTTCCTCATATTCTAAGAAATGTCTGTCAGAACAAATGCCTGGCTGTATACAAGCTAACAGAAGGGAGACTTAAGAGATTATACTTGACAGAGAATATGCTCCTTATAAAACTTGTTTAGAAAAACCACTAAACAGCTATAGCGTATAGAAAGCTACAAAACTAACACATAAGTGGGAGAAAATATCTAAACTTCTTATTTCCAGAATTATAGATTGTCCAGTTTTCCACAGAAGTTTATAAAGCATGCAAAGGAACATTCACAGAAGAAATTAATAGAGAAAATCTTTGAGGAAGTCGTGACATTGGACAAGGAATTTAAGTCAGCTGTCTTCAAGTGTGCCCAAGGAACTAAAAGGACCAATGGGGAAATGCTGAACAGAATAATACATGGAGGGAATGATGTATGGATGAGTAGAGAATATCAGTGAAGGTATAGAAAATTATATAAAGGATGCAAATGAATTCTGGAGCTGACACGTATAATAAATGGCAAGAAAATCTCACTGAGGGTTTCAGTAGATTTGAGGAAGCTGAAGAGTCAATGACCTTGAATTTGAGTTAGTAGAAATGATTTGTTTTGAAGTACAGAACCATTGAAGAAAAAGGAGCATTCTTCAGAGACCCATGGAATAATGTGAAGTGTGYACCCATTGTGTCAATGGAAGGAGAGGACAGAGGGAAAGGGAGAGAACAAGGAAGGAAGAGTGGCCAGGCACTTCTTCAGTTTAACCAAAGATATTAATCTGTCTATTCAGGATGTTCAGAGAGCCCCTAGAAGGCTAAACACAAAGAGATCCACTTCCAGATACATACACTATTGAAACTTGAAAACCAAGAGGATATCTTGAAAGGAGCAAGATAGAAAAGATCAATTACTGTGGTACCCTGGAACATCACAGAGACCTTGTAGGTCCGAAAGGAACAGGGTGCCATGTTTTAAAAATGATGAAGAAAAAATATTGTCAAT